AGGTTGGATAGTTTGGTACTCCTATAAAAGAATAAACAAAAAAAACTAACTAAAATAAGCTACAGATCCGTCACATATTAGTAATCAGAATGTAATACACAAAATTTCACCTCGTAGTAAATTGAAAATTTCCAATAGAGGATTTCGCTCAAACTAATAAATTCTCTTCTATATACTACATTTCTGTATGAGTCATTAAAACCAATAACTGTTAATGGAAAATCCTCCTGGAAAAAAACAAAATTGTGTTTTCGATTCCACAGTGATCTTTATAAATATATTTTTTGCCAAGCGATTAATTATTATCGTAAACGATGATATTTATATGTTTTAAATACTAAATACCTTCATCACTATTCATGATTATTTACAAAAACTTTGTGTTTTTATTTTTATAGATATATTTGTTCAAAATCTAAACCAAACTTGGCTTGGTAAACAATAAGGAAATCGGAAAATAGGTGACGCTTGACGCATCATATAAAAATACTAGATGACCAATACCACTTATTTCGTCTAAAAGTAATGCAACATACCTTCAATTTATTTAAGCGAGTGACAATAATCGTTTACTTATAATGTAAAAAAAAAAATTTTTGTACAAACGCCCCAAAGCTGTATGGAACGTGCGGCGTGGCGACCATTTAAATCACTACGCCATCTGTGCATAATAATCATAGTCTTTGTAACTATTTCAATGGTAAAAGAACTAGTGATCTGATAACAAATGGATCAGGAAATCATCGGATTTAAAAAAAATAATCAAACATACCTACACGATACGCACACGCAAACGAAAATAGGTACACACGAAATCTGTTGGTATATTAGTATTATTTTGGATCCATCTGGTGAAATAGACTATACTACTGTGTTTTCTACTAGAATTAGGAATGTTGTCGCACCAAAATTGCATTGGTAGAAAATATAAGTGGGGACTTCTATACTGTTGCGAAGAGAAAGCGGTCTAATATGTAATATTTTTTTTATTTTTGTTGACGGGGTGGAAAATCCACTTTCCACTAAAAAAAACGGCCTCCCCAACGGCCGGTCTCAGGCGCCCTATTCCAAGGAAGACCGACGCCGTGCTCTATCCTGGGGCCCCGTCGACGTCTGGTATCGCCGCCGACGTCCTCTGCACGGGATCGGCACTTTCCCGATCCTGTTCAGCGGTCTCTTTCTGAACCATTACAGGTTCACAGAATGAGACCACTGCGGACCCGGACTGGACTAATTCGTCCTCTAAAAATTGTATTTAACAATATACATTGTTCAACATTGTATCATTATTATATAACTTTATTTTATTTATTTTTATTTTCAGCCGGATTATCATTGTAGTGACGTATATATATCTGTTCTAATATTTCTCTTAACTATCCTGTCTAATTTTATAAATTCTTCTTTATTAAATTGATATGTGCGTATATGTTATCTTTGCATTCTATTAGTGCTGCTTTACCAAGGTGCTTTATACAACTATGTATGAGTTTTTTTCTATTGATTTTGGGTTTAAATCGTACAGTTACAAAACTGAATTTTATTGATATGAAAATTTTTATTCATGATATGAAAATTGGTTTTTATTTGTTTCGCAGATGATAAACAGAAATCTATTTCATTTTTTGTTCTCGCGTCGCCTTTGTAATTTTTTGTAAAAGTAACTAGGTATTGCTTATAGCTAGGTTCTTACCAAAAGCGAATTGCAACAGGCGTATGCCTCGTTCATTCCTGGTTCCCAAGCCATGGGGACCTAAGATTCTGGGATTCTCATGATCTTCTTCAACACCGAGTTTGGCATTAAAGTCGCCAAGGATTAACATCCAATTGCCTTTATGCTCATTGCATGCTTTGTCCAGTAAGTCATAGAATTCCTCGACTTCTACATCGGGATGTGATGACGTTGGAGCGTAGACTGGGATGTTGGTGAGAATTTTGTTTTTCGTGACAGAAAATTTCAACACTGCTATTCTGTCTGAGTAAGAGACGAATTCTATAATGTTAGATTTCCAAAGTGTTGCAACCAAAAAGCCTACGCCGGACTGACCTCCCTGACCCTATTTTTGCGGTTTAATGTATCTTCGCCTTTTCTTCTGACTGCCGATAGGTCCATGATATCCCAGCTAACATACTCCAAATCATTTTCAAATTCAAGTAGTCAGTCTTTATTTTTTTTAAAACGAACATTATAAGTATAAAACTAAATTAAACATAAAACTATATTAAACTATATTAAACTACATTAAACTATATTTAGTTTCTCGTAATCCTTATAGCTAGCCTTGCTCGTTTGACAGTTTATGTGTAATTATAATTGTTTACTTATGATTTCAATGCCATTATACAAATATTTGCATACATTTTTAACAAAATTTAGTTTGTTATGTTTTTATGAACTATTCTATGAAATGCTATTAAATGAATTAACACAGAAAATGGAGTCTGAGTATTACAATTTATTTCAGTAAGTCATCACTCACATCCTAAGTTTACATCCTTAGCTCTCTTCACGAAGCGTGTAAAAAACTTAACACCGTCCATCCTTAGCTTACACCCTTAAACTCTTAGCACCATAACTCCTTTTTAACAGAGGCATGAAAGTCCGTATTGTATTAAGTGACTCTATGCATCAAGAACATAATAAACACACATACAACATAATAAGAGCTAATTTTTATTACATAGATACAGACACGTACGAGTATTTCAAATTGAGGCGCCCCGGGCATTAAACCAAAAAATAATGACTCATAATAACGCGTTACGAATTTTAAGTGACTATCGTCCAACTCAAGAGATGCAATTGCGATGATTTGTCCTTCTTTGAAGGGAGGCCCCCTCCCTTCAAAGAATTCGATTTTACCTCCGGTAACCTTACCGACTCGTTGCAAATCAAGGAAAGAATTGATTAACACCGATTTCCTGCGATCTGTATCACTCCGAGCCGGTCCATTTTATGCGCTCTTCTAAGGTAGATGTTCATCAACAGTCTTTAATAGTCAACTGATGGACACAGGCCTCTCCTTTGCATGGAGCATGGAGCTTTTAGGCCTGCTATACCACGTTGGCCACACGGGTTATTATAGGGTTTGTTTCAAGTTTCCCTACTCTTTGCAGCGTGGTAAAATGGTAAAACTACCTAAACAATCGCTATTAGTTTAAATGTTTTCAATAAGAAACACTTATTATTTGTTATGTCGATTACTCATTGAAACTTTTTTATATTTATTTATTCCAATCCACGTTAAATTGTTTACCACGACAGAGATATGTATGAGAGCTCTTTATACCGAAAATTGCTTTTACTATTCCGTATGGTAATGCTATTTAAATGGATCCGTGTTTATTTGTCTGTTCCGTTCGAACGAATCCATCATTCATAAGCCTTCGTGAAATGCTTTCTGTTTATTCGTTAATACAGGGACGTGTCAATCCATTTCGTTTTGCGCCTACGCGTCAGCACTTTCGGGAAAATATTTTTACTGGTTTTTGTTACGAATTCATTTTGTAATAATTCTGTTTTATGTCTTCGCTCAATTTGGGCTCGTGTCTGCGTTCGCCTTATAAGTTATTTTTCTGTTCTAATTGGGAGATATCTTTTTCTATGCTCCTGGTAAAACGTGTGTAAAATTACATAATGATAGGTGAGTACGAATGTTGAGTGGGTAACTAAAGGTTAAGCGCAGCGTAAAAGAAAAACTATGATATTTTCAATCACATTTATGTAATTTTAGTTGTTAGCGATTCTGAGGCCCAAGTGCGAGTTTATTTCACATCTAGTCGATTGTCACGGTGACCGCGTTAGGCGCTGCGATTGGCCCGAACTGAAATCTTCACCAATCACAACGCAAAACGCGCTTGCTGTCGAGAATGAGTTGATGTGAAATAAACTTGCAGTATACCCTCTGATTGCCATGTCCAAGGTGAGTGAGTGAGTAAGTTCGATTCCCACTACATTTCCACACTTAATCACGTCACCACATGGAAATGATAACGATCACGACGGAGCACGATCATTTATTCTGTATCCAGGTATCGTTTATTTATAAGAGTGAGTGAGTGCATGTATGTATGCGTATTAATATTATACTAACTTTTGCCAGTGGCTCTACCCGCGTGTATGTTGGTTATGGCAGTAAAACGTAGTCTATCTCCTTCCTCAAGAATCAAAGTATTTTCATGCCAAATTTAATTAAACTCGGTTGTTGAATTTAACCAACAGATAGACAGACAGCGTTACTTTCGCATTCATTATGTTAATAGGGCTTATTAGAATATTTAGGATTAGTTAAGAAAGGCAACTTATCTTTGGAGTATTGAATCTCGGCAATTATTATAATTGTGCATGTGTTTCATGGTCCGTGTGGTAACGGATGAAGAATACGGAATGTTATCACCCCTATTAATCCTCTCTTCTCCATAGAAAGGAGGTTTTGGCCTAGTATACCAGGGTTGGTTTAGGGTTTCTGTCAAGTTTACTTCTGCAGTTTCTCTTCTTGTTTTCCTGCTTAGTTTGCTCCCTTAGTCGGCTCCGTATTCATAATCCGTCATCACAAGGAGTGCGCTACGTAGTACGAGTACTACGCTTAAAGTGGCTCTTTAATAAACGGATATCCATACAATATAGTACGTGTATTCGTATTACATGATTTATTTATATCTTCATCGATATAAAACTTTTTTATAACCAGAGCCGGATTTTGACGCTAAGCGCACAAAAATCTGCCATATTAAGAAGGCCTTTCCTGATGAAAAAGAATGCTCAGAAAATTCTATGAAGGGGACAAGTGTTTCTTAGAGGTTCTAAACTATCTCTAAATGTATGTAGCACAGCTTATACTATGTTACTACATAAATATAAAAGGTAACGATTATAAATCACGGTCAGACAGTCGTCCCTAGCGACCTGTCGCTCCGGACACATGTAGCTTTGGCCCTGGAACAAATGTACCAACGCACATCTATATTAAATATTTTGTAACAAAAAAATAATGACTTACCAATAAGATAATGTCCGAGTTCTCCCAGAATGTAGAGGATAGACACGAGGCCTAACACATACCACTTGTAATAACCTTCAAGCTTACTCCAAATGCCTCCGTGGAACATCTTGATTTTTTATTATCTGTCAACAAAAACAAAATGTGTTAAACCTTTTCCTGAAGTGTTTACTTTGATTAATAATTAGCTGAACCTGATTCTGATAAATTCGCATGTGAGTGGAACCGTAATTCTACAAAAAGTCCGAAAATATTAGTAATCTAAGTCACTCTTGTAAAATAAGTTTACCAGACAGTGAAAGTCCCCCAAGAACCGATTGAGCCGTTTCGGGACTAAATAATATTGGATGTTTCGAAATGCATAGTGCCATATTTTGATATATTTTTATTACATATCATAAAAATTGGAGGTGTAATCTGTTGGAGGTGTAAGGTGTAAAGTTTGTCAAATAGCACCTAAAGGCTGCTGTACACAGGGGGCTAACGCGTGGAGATGCACTTATTGTTTATTAGTTAGCGTCAACTACTGGCTGATTAGTGTCGGTTTTCAGTGCACACATCAAAGGATCTTGGCGCACTCCGCAAACAGCATTCAATCGTTGGTACTACCAACTACCAACATACCGCTAAGAGGATCTCTACACGTTGGCCCAATATGCTGGCCCTATATCTTGGTCAAATGTGTACAGCTTTTAAATAAAATTCGATATTTTGGAGCAAAATGCTGGCTCAGCAGCAATGTGTATTTGTAACCTGAGCTACGCCGACGACATGGTTCTGCTGAGCCCCTCGGTTCAAAGCCTACGAACGCTGCTGTCGATATGTGAAAAATATGCTGAAGCCCATTGGCTTACCAATAATGTAAAAAAGATAGAAGTTACGATATTTAGGTACGACAAGTCTAGTAGGTTTGTCCCAGTAATCACAAAAATAGTTTCGACTTTTAGATACCTCGGTCATGTTAGCAAAACCTCGGTCCAGCAAAATGTTAGCAAAAATCATGCTTAGTATTGTTCTTCCATACTTATGGAAGAACTACACTAAGCGCACTGCGCGTGCAGTACAACACGCTCTCAGGGCCATGCTAAATCTACCATGGCGGTGTAGCGCGTTTGATATGTTCGCCTGGAATAGGGTGGGTAGGGTAATTTTGTTGTCTAAAAAATGACATTTCTATGGGTATTTACATGAAATAAATCATTATTACTAATGCAGCCCAATGTGTTTAACTGCCTTTATACCGTTCGTAGCTGAAAATATTAATAATGTATTTTAATAAAAAAAAAATATGTAAAAGATCTGTTTAGGATCCACCAAGGAGTAATATATACGGATCTTTTTTCACCCTCGGATATCTGTACGAATATCTGTTACATCATTATTCCACTTACAATTTTTGTTTTTATTTTTCTCCACATGCCAAGAAACCCAATCAGATTCCAAACATTACAATCGTAATATTTCTGCATAAATAATTAATTAACTTCAATGTAAAACAATAGATCATTACAATTCCTATTTCAAATAAAATACCTATTCAAGTTGCACATTGGTCTCAAATGACCATTATATACAACGATAATCACCGGATAAGATCAATAACGTGCAAAATAATAATTTAAATTACAAGCCTTAAATGACCTCAAATTATAATCATTAAGCCTTATGAGGTCTAAACTGTAACGATCGTGACATAGTTTTCCAAATCGTGAAACAAAAAAACAACACGCCTTATGGAAATAGTATCCACTTACGATACTCCGACTTACGTTTATCTTGATTTACATAGTTATGTTTTGCAAATGGCAATAAAAACCAAAACAGATTCAAAAGAGGTAGGAATAATATAGAACAACATTCTAGAACAACTAATTCTTATAATATGTTTACGTTTGGTCTTAAAATATTAAGTAAAAATACAGTTGCCAATAAGAATAATAACTCTATTTTAAAACTGATTGTGTGTCTACAATACTTATAGATATACTAATCAATGCAATTATATTACACCGCCAACTAATAAAAATAATAGAAGATAGAAATATAATAAAGAAACTAGAAGATTATAATTATAAGAAGATACATAATTTATTCTAATATGTAACTTTAATATTCGTTTATTGACATCATTTTCATCATCATCATCATCATCATCGAGCAGTATGGCTCACCGTGTGGTATGATTCCAAAACACCACTGTAAAGTCTCTTGGTTGACGGTCCTAAGAGGTTTCACATGCACAAAAAGGGTAACATCTAAATTGACATATGCATCTATTGTAATAATATTATAAAACTTTTACAATTAAACATATTTTCTGACCTGAATCAGGATATTTCAGCTGGATTACACTAATCGTGATACATAATAGTAAAACGATAGTATTAAGATGAGCTCAGTCTATCTTCCTCTTAGCCTTTTTTATTAAACTAGGTTTGAAGCGACTTTAAGTCTACGGCTGAATTTCATTTTTTTACGCGGAGCGACTGCCTTCAGACCTCCACAATCCAAGTACTAGGCGGTATCAAAGTTCTGTAGAAATACGTTGTTGGGGACTTTTTTGAGCTACTCTAAATATTAAAATAGTTATATATTAAAATGTAAAGTTGGTGTGTGTCGTTTCAAAAACTCAAAAAGTTCTGAACCGATTGAGGTTAAATTTTGACACGATATACAACCCGCTTTAAAGATGTTTTTATGTATTTTTCTCATCAAGCTCGTTTCTCATTTCTCAGCAATGCAACCAAAATGTGACATAGCCAAGCATCTTAGGGTACAGTTAAATATATAATACTACTGTCATTTTTTTACAGTCGAATTTATTGAAAATGGTCGTGAAGTTCGACTTACGGACGATTAAGTCGAATAATGTAACTGTATCATTAAATCACTGTTGTGTAGCGACGGAAATGCTTGAGTTATGAGACAAGTTAAGGATGTAGGAGGCATACTGAGGTCAAGTTAACAACAACACTTGTTCCATGCCTATGTATTTGTTCTGTTAAATGGAATGGCAGTGAATTTAAACGCATAATATCCGGCCTAGTTTTAAAGTTATGTCAAGAATTTGTGCAAGTGTTAAGTACTTCTTACATTGTATGTACTTCATATTCAGGTACTTGTATTAATCAGATAAGTACAGAGCAAGCAATAAATATTAATTAAATCTGGGTCGAAATCGTAAGTGTCGTAAAAGCCAACTGAGGGAGCAAACTCTGCAGGACAACATCACTGCAAAGAGAAGAAAAACTTAAAACAAACCTTATACCGACCCGTCTGACCAGTAGGCCAAAACCTCCTTTCTAAGGACAGACATATATGTAAGTGCATTTTAAATACCATTCAAACTAAACCACTGCTATAAGGTACGATCTCAAAGATAACAATGGGCCGCAAATGTTGATTTCCATTAAACTGTCACGTAGACCTATTTTTGGATAATAAAAATATAACAATGACCCAAATTATAACAATGATGTAATTATGTGCATCGCGTGTCGCTATTGTGTTGTACAGCACGGCAAGTCGCAAATCTGTTAAGTAATATGTATAAGTGATAATAAGTTCTATGAAAATATTATGAGTCATTGGTCTGTCGAATGCCATCGTTAGGTTGGAGCTCTGCCATTTGAATTTTTGTTCTATGATAAATTCGAGGAATTGATGCAATCGGAAATTATATCATGGTAATTACGTGATGGGTAGAGTGAGATTAAAGGAGCAGAAATGTCGCATTAAAGTAGTACTACAATCCGCTGAATATTAAGATTCGATCGAACTTGACAAAAATTGACTGAACCACGAATAGTCGTCCCTAGTGTTGTAGCTTCTCTTTATATCTCTTATGTTATGTTGCCAAGGGTGTACTGTTAACGATTTCGATAAAAATGCATTACAACATTAATAACAAAATTACGCCTTCAATGTGAAAGACCTACAAGGAATATTATTATGGGGAATATTACACATCGAATTGAATACCTCATTAACATACTAATATTTAATTGACATCAATAAAATTATTTCGATGATGTGTATTATTAAAAATGTATATAATAAATTGTAATGCTTTACAATTAATGATCTAATCCTACTAATTTAGTTTAGTAATTAAATTAATTTAATAGTAATAATTTGTTTGTATTACAGATTTAGTTATCATTAGTGTAATTAATTGACGCGTGCTAAGTGTGAAGAATTGTTTATGTTTTTTTTTAATATATTATATATATGTGTGTTAAACAAATTTATATATTGTATTTACTATTCTCCTTTTACAAAAAAGTCCTTAAATATGGGAAGCATTAACTTAAAGGAGAACATTTGCATTAACAAAAAGAAACTTAAATGATTGTACCAAGTGCTGGTAATGACATGTTTAAGAGGGCTCTTTAGGTCTGCAGTATTTATTTATTTATTAGGATCTCCTACGAAAGATATACACAAGTAAAAAAACAGTAATTAACAGAATGGGTTTAAAGTCGGTGTACTCCTTCACTTACAGGAGACCACAGCAAGCACAGTGAAAAAATAATAATACCATCAACCAAGCGAACACAGTTACAAGCGATGTTTACAATTTAAATTCTTAAAAGTAACAAAAAATATAATTAAAAAATTGTTTTGATAAAATTTAAAAAATACGAAATAAAACAAAAAATAATAATAAAAACGTTGAGGCTTACATTAATTTCTGACGGTATACAGAACTATTCTCGAATGAGTCACTTAGAGGGGCCCGGATGTCTTAATATTAGCTGTTCCCGGACCTCGTCTATCACAGGCACACCGTGTGGTTTTAGTTCGATTCACCCACACAGCCACACCGCAAACCCCGGTCGAGAGACAGCCCGAGAGGGTTTCCACAGGTTAAAAAAAAATGGATGAATCAGTGAGCTGTCAGGGCAAGTGATTTTTTTATGTATAGAGAATAATCTCTATTATAAAAAGCTTTATAAAAAGCTGAAGGATTTGTCTGTTTGGTGGAAGCGCTAATCTCAGGAATGACTGGTTCGAATTAAATTTTTTTTCTTGGATAGCCCATTTAGCGAAGAAGGCTTGAAAAACCGGTTAATTATTTCGTTAATTAACTAACTAACTCAGTTTTGG